TCTGCACCACATCCTGTGGGTCAGCTCTGGCCCAGCAGCACTCTGCCCTATATTGCAGAAAGTGTGGTTTAATGGCCCAGTTTTGGGTAAATAAGCCAAATCTCCAGCAGGCTCTGAGGGCAAGGATCAGGAAACAGCTTCGGCCGCTGCGTGGTCAAGGCCAGTTCAAGAAGCTCTTTGCAAGATTTTCCTACTGCTGTGCTGGAAACTCCTGCTTCCCTTCACTTCTTAGAGGGGAAAGAAAAAGTCAGAAGCAGTTTGTGAGTGTGACCTGCGGAGACCCTGAGCATCCTGTGCTGGTGCTGGGAGCAGGGGAGGGAAGGAATTGCTTTCAGCAGCCGGGAGGCGTGGGTGGCAGGAGGGCTTTGTGTGGTGCTGGAGGATGCTCTGTACATGCATCCCTCCTAAACAAATACCTCTTTAAATGTGTGTGATGGGAATTCAGGGAACTGCTTTTTTTTTTATTTTATTTTTTTTTCTTTTTCCAACTTGTCTCCAAGTAGGAGAGAGGCTTATTAGTACTCTCCTTCCATAGGCAAGATGCGGAGGCTGGGAAGTTGTGAGACGAGTTACATTTGCTTTTATCAGGCAAATCTGCTCTCTCCTGGACAGTCCCTTCAGCCAGAAGGAGGAGGAGAAAAAGCACAAGGTGCTGGCCAGGAGTTCTAGGGGGAAGCTCATGAAACCAGCCAGCAGAGCCAGGGAGATGAACTCGTGTCAGGAGGAAGGATTTTTCTCCATGCTGGATAAGCACCTGTTGAAGAAAATGTGTTGAATGTCACTGATGTGCATTCAGAGGAGCTGCACTCTCTTGGACACGGTGCTGTTTGCAAGTTGGAAGGGCATTTTAGGCTGGGACAGTCCCCTCACGTCTTTTTCCAGGGCATTTTCCATCTGCAGCCTCTGAGAATTCCCAGGGAGCTCCTGCTAAGCAGGAGAGGTTTCAAGGTGAGGTGTGATGGAAGGGAAGGCGATTTGGGCAGCCTCAGAGCTCCAGGCAGATGGAGCTGGAAGAGAAGTGGATGCTCTGAGCATCTCCTCAGATTTAGTCAGAGAGAAAGGAAAGAATCCAGAGCTGGGGGTGCAGGGTGTGAAATGGGAATGAGAGCTGGCAGCACACGGGGAGCAGGGTTGGGCACAGCTCTGCAGGCAGGAATCTGGTTTTGGGGAAGGACAGATCACCCTGGGAGCTCCCCGGGATCTCCGTGGAGCTGTCAGTGAGACAGAAGTGGGCAGCCCAAGAGGGGAGCAGCAGAGCTGGGCTCTGGGGTCAGGGAAGCTGATCCCACCCTGAACCGGGGTCTGGGCTGGGGGGCAGGAGGGCTCCCTGCCCCACAGGCTCACGGATTGCTCAGGGTTTTATCCCCCTGCTGCTGGGAGAGCCGAGTGTGTCATTATTTATTGCCATCTGTTCCAGACACCGATGGCAGCTGCTCCCAGTGCTACCTTACAGCTCCCGGGGCTTTCAGCCCCCAAAACTCGAGCTCCCGGGGGATTTACAAAGACAATGCAACCCATCTGATGCTGAAAGAAGAGTTCCTCGTGGCGGGCTGCTAGCAATCAGTGGAAATGTAGCTGTTCCCTGTAAGCTATTTGCATCTCTGGGAACATTACATTTATACAAATGTGTTTATACGACTGCTAATATTTCCCTCTCGGAGAGGCCTGGCCTGTGTGGGTGCTGAGAGGAGGGTTTGTGTAAGATCCCCGTCTGTGGCAAACTTCAAGTGAAATTCATCACATTTTTGATTCAGGAAGAAATTTGTCTCTCTTTTCCTTTTTTTTTTTTTTTTTTTTTTTTTTTTTTTTTTTTTTTTTTTTTTTTTTGTCTGTTTTGAAAGGCCTGGGTACACACCCCTGCACAGTGAGATTTAGAAGTGATTACAGTGAGCTGGGAAGCAGCTGTCTGACATCAGTGGGATACAGAAAGCCTCTCAAAGACTTTTTCCTTTGCATAACATTATCCTGATCATACTCCACTGATCCCACTAAGATGAATTTGTCATGGGGAGCACTAGGAAATGCAGAAGCAGTGTGCAGCTGCAAGTGTCCAGTCCTGCATGCTGGATCCAGCTGGGTTTCGTGGCCAGAGCTCTGCTCCCGAGTTTGCCCGTGGCCAGCCTGTCACCTTGTACAAATCTGGGTTCTTTGTGCCTTGGTTTCATCCCTCATGAAATGAGGATAACGTCACTCACCTTGTGTGCAAAAGGGGTTGAGGTCTAGTGGTGAGAATTGCTGGGAAGGGGCTTAGGTGAGGTTGTTTTGAATTTATGGGAGTGCAGGTAGCAAAGCAAATGCCAGCCCTGTGTGCAGCTCAGGCTGTGCCTGGCCAGCCAGGGGGAGACAGGGAGGATATTTCCTCAGAGGCATGCAGAGGAAATTGCTGAAGTGTCTTTTGATCAGGAGTTACCAAAACTCGCTGGAGCAGAAAGAATCTTAAAATGCTAATGAGCCTTCATCTGTGGAGCCCTGGTTGGGGCAGTTTCTGCTTTTCTCCAGGCTGATTTTGCAGCGCTGCTCAGCGTCCAGTCCTGCCTCTCTTTTACTCTCTCTTTCTGGGGAGGGTAAATCCTTCCCAGCAATTCTCACCACTAGACCTCAAACCCTTTTGCAGGCAAGGTGAGTGACGTTATCCTCATTTCATGAGGGATGAAAGCAAGGAGGAAAATCCTCCTTGCTGAACCATTTCCCAGGAGTGTTATTTTACATTGTGAGAAGAAGGTTATTTTAACAAACTCAATTTTTACAATGCCAAGAGCCAGGAGCGCTGGTTGCATTCCTGCAGGCAGCCTCCCTGTCCCAAGGAGGTGCATTTCCATTTTATTGTCTGCTATTTTTACCTCGTTTTGGGGAGGAGGAAGGGCTGGGACACCCTTGGGACGGGCAGTCTGTGGGCTGGTGTGGCCGGGTGTGGCAGGAGGGACAGGGACAGGCTGGGAGGTGGCACCCAGCCCGCACATGGCACACACATGAGCAGCCCCCGGCTGGGTAGAGCCTGCTGCCGGCGGCTTTTGAAGGCGAATTTAAACCCTAAAATAACAACTGCCACTCCCTGCTGAGGGAAAGCAGCCGCGATTAGGAAGCCTCCCATTCCCCGCTGCCTGGTGACACAAGGACTTTCCCCTCTGTGCCAAGAGGGTGACATTGCCACCCTCCCCTTGTCCCCGAAGAGGAGCACGGGGCTCCTCTGACAGCTCCTGCACCAAAGGCAGTGGGAGACATGTGCTAACCTAAGGAGACAGCAGATGGGTGCAGGTGCTTTTAAGAACAGCTGCTGGTGTCTCACTCAATAATCCCATTTTTAACAAATCCGTATGATAGCGAAAAAATGCTGGAAATTAGGTTTTTTCTGTCCTCTCTCATCTCCCGAGCCACACTTGACCTGTTCAACATGATCTAGGGATTAAAGGCTTGTTATTTTAGCTTTTCCATAATAGATCAGAGGCTGATCTCTGTCAGGCTATCGAGCTACTATTCCTTGGCTCTCCCCCTCTTCCCACTTTTCCTTTTGTGTCCCAGGTTATGTGATAATCCAGAGATGTGACTCCTGCTGAGGGGCACGGTGGCTTTTCCCCAACACTGCACCGTGTCATCACCCCAAGGTGCTGCTTTAGAGAATATTTTGGAGCTCCGAGGCTCCCAATTCTAAAGTCTTAAAACTCTGGAAGCTGCCTGAGGGAGGGAAGCCTTGGCACCTTCACTTGTCACCCCTCGGGCAGCAGAAGGGTGGCCAGGAGGAGGGAGGGCAGGGAGCTTTGCTTTTCTCCGGTGGGGAGCACATCCCAAAGGTGATTTTTCTGGCTGAGATCCGAAGGAGGGAGGCTGTGGAGCCGATATTGTCAGTGGAGCCGATATTGTCAGTGCTGAGCTGTCGGCTGTGGGCTGAGGTGTCCTTCCTCACCGCGCTGCTTCGAACTAATCACCAACACCGCTGCTAATTCCCTCAGCTCCCAGGTGGGGAAGCCGTGGCACCGGGATGCAAAGTGGCTTAGCCAAGGTCACCCGCCGGGAAATGGCACGGAGAGGGAGAGAGCTGATGGATAGGTGTGGCCGTGCTACGGGAGAAAGGGGATTTTTTTTTTTCTTTTTCTCTAGGAGGGAGAGGCAAAAGGTCTTGTCGGGGGTTTCTGGGGGCTCCGGGGAGAGCCGGGCCTGTGTTTGCTCCTCCGCCAGGTGCCAGTGGGTGCTCCCCGGGGAGCACCCCCGAGAGG